AGAAATGGCTAGAGTTTGTAAATTTTCAGCTTAAAACTCCTAAAATGTTAGCCTATGCTACATAAATAATTTACACACGCTCCTGTGCTGAGCGATTAAATATGCAAAGTCTGATTGGATCCAGTCTGGGGTGGAGGGGAAGCGGATTTAGAGAAGGTATCCTAACTCACTGGCCTGCAGGCAAGCAGGCAGCTCGTTGTCAGGCTGCAGAACCCACCGGAGACTCCTCTCCACACGCTCGAAAACCCGCCCTAAGCCCACTGCCTGCTTGGAACCGCGCAGCAGCTCCGGACTGCGGCGTCCCCTGCGGAGCCGGGCACCTCGCAGGCGGAGAGGAGCGGCGGTGTGCGGGCGAGCCGCCGCTAGGGGCGCACCGGCGCGGGAGGCGCGGAGCTCTGCGGGGCGCCCCAGCCGGCCGGCCGAGCCGGCGCCCTCCGCCACCTTCCACCTGCGCCCGCGGCTCCGGACGCGCGCCTCGCCCGCTCCCCGGCCGCGCTCACTCACTCACGGTCCGGGACACCTTCAGCTCCTGATTGAGCCACTGGCAGAGGATCTCCGACATGGCCCGCCCGCACCTCCTCGGCTGGCAGGGGCTAGGAACTAGCCAGCAACGCGCGGTCCGGCTGGCGTCCTCCTGTTGCCCAGGGCAACCGTTGCTAAGGAAGCGTAGCCACGCGGGCGAGGCGACAGGCTGAGAAGAGGGAACGCCAGAGCTCAGCCTCTGGGGACCGAAATCGTCGCCTGCCCCCTGCTGGCGGATAAGACCTGAGCGTGGCAAGCTCAGGCGGCTTCCAAGATTCTAGAAGCAGCTAAGATGTCATGAAACACAGCAACTGTTATTGAATTCTATTACTTTGTTTAGCGGAATTTTGTATCTTTTTTTTTCCTATCACTATTTTGTATTCTTTAAAAAAATAAAATAAAAAAGATCTCTCTTACTCCTCTCCTTTCTTTTTTTCTTTTCCTTTTTTGTGGAAAGCATTGCCTATTATTTTGATTATAAGTTCGTCTTTCTCTTGGGTAAATAATGCAGAAAAGAGCTATTGTGTCACCACAAGTTGCTATCAAAAATGGTGCTGTCTACTGAAATGAATTTCAGAAAATAGACCTAAGTCTTTAAAACCGTAATTGTAACATTTTTCATAACTGGAGCTCTATCAATAAAGCGCAAGCTATGAAATTAGATAAACCTGGATCCTGATGTCTGATTTTTATCTGATTAGCTAGCGTTTGAAGTCGGAAAAACTACTTGACCTGAAACTCCACTTGCTTCTATATCAATGTTTGTGTCACGGAGTTGTGAGCATTAAACATACGAAAATATGGGTTAATTTTTGGCTCTCAGTAGGAGTTTACCATGTGTTTCTTTTTTCCCCCCAAGGTTATGGGAATTACTGCATTTTATTACTAGTTATCTGAATTTCGAGTAGCTTAGAGTTGCTTATATTTCAAAAGAGTTTGAGGTAATTATTTCAAATAGTTGCTTTGACTTTATGATTAATTCAATATTTATTCGTACCCAAGTAAAGATTCATAGGCAGAGTTTTAAAATCTTCTTGGTTTCCCCACGTCTCCTGCTCATCTCTTCATTTCCCCTTTCCTCACCGAGGATTATTTCCTTATTACGTCTCTCCCTTTCACTGCATCCTGTGAAGCTGGTACGATGCCTGCTTCCAAAGCCCCCCTCTGTTCCTCTGCTCACACGTTTCCGTGCATTCCACAGGAGCGGGGCGTACCATTATCCCCTTCGTGTGATTTCTGCAGTGCTGAATGCAGAGTCTTCACATAAGCTGTGTAGATAAACTCATACAGATGACCTCAGGGTTCATGGTATATAATAAACACATATTTAACTTTATGGGTGGTATGGGGGATGGGAACATATTTACTTCATTTTATATGCTTGTGCATATATGTGTGTGATTACAGGCAGATATGTGTGATTGCATGTGGGGGCATATATATGTAAATATATGTAGAAAATTATTTCTTTTTACTATCCATTTATTTTTAATTTATTAGCATATATTTTAATATGTAATAATCACAGTCATCTTGGGGGATTTGGTACATATACATATCATGTCTCAATCTTTTTACTCCACCTTCTCTTCTTCCCTAGATCCCCAGGCCCCTCTTCCCTAGATTCCCTTTGCATCTCCACAAAGTCTATTGCCTGTTTCCTCTTGTATCTCTTTTGTTTTAGTTTTGAAGTTATATTTTCAATTTCTCAAAAGAAATCATAAAATATTTAACTTTCTGTCCGATTTATTTTACTTGGAATTATA